CAGACGGTGCTGCTGCTGAGAGTCATTGCTGCTTTTTGCTTCCTGGGCATCCTGTGCAGCCTCGGAGCTTTTCTGCTCGACGTTTTTGGGCCCAAACACCCGGCCCTGAAAATCACCCGGCGCTACGCCTTCGCCCACATCCTCACAGGTGAGGGAGCCTCAAAAATACCCAAAAAAAAAAAAAAATGGTGAAATTCTACCCAAAAATACCCCAAAAATTTAAAATAAAAGGGGTGGAATTCTGCCCAAAAATACCCCAAAAATTTATAATAAAAGGGGTGGAATTCCACTCAAAAATCCGCCCAAAAATGCCCCCAAAATCCAAAAAAAAAGTGGTGGAATTCCACCCAAAAATACCCCAAAAATTAAAAAAAAAAAAGTGGTGGAATTCCACTCAAAAATCCGCCCAAAAATGCCCCCAAAATCCAAAAAAAAAGTGGTGGAATTTCACCCAAAAATACCCCAAAAATTTAAAATAAAATGGGTGGAATTCCAGCCAAAAATACCCCAAAAATTTAAAAAAATAGTGGTGGAATTCCACCCAAAAATCCGCCCAAAATCGAAAAAAAAATGGTGAAATTCAACCCAAAAATACCCCAAAAATTTAAAATAAAAGGGGTGGAATTCTGCCCAAAAATACCCCAAAAATTGAAAAAAATAGTGGTGGAATTCCAGCCGAAAATCCACCCAAAATCGAAAAAAAAAGGTGAAATTCAACCCAAAAATACCCCAAAAATTGAAAAAAAAAGTGGTGGAATTCCAGGCAAAAATCCCCCCAAAATCGGAAAAAAAAAGGTGAAATTCAACCCAAAAATACCCCAAAAATTTAAAATAAAAGTGGTGAAATTCCACGCAAAAATCCGCCCCAAAATGCCCCCACAATCCAAAAAAAAAGAGGTGAAATTCTACCCAAAAATACCCCAAAAATTTAAAATAAAAGGGGTGGAATTCCACCCAAAAATACCCCAAAAAATAATAAAAAAAAGGTGAAATTCCACCCAAAAATACCCCAAAAATTTAAAAAAATAGTGGTGGAATTCCAGCCAAAAATCCGCCCAAAATCGAAAAAAAAAAGGTGAAATTCCACCCAAAAATACCCCAAAAATTTAAAATAAAAGGGGTGGAATTCCGCCCAAAAATGCCCCAAAAATTAAAAAAGAAATGGTGGAATTCCACCCAATAATACCCCAAAAATTTTAAAAAATAATGGTGGAATTTCACCCAAAAATACCCCAAAAATTAAAAAAAAAAGGTGAAATTCCACCCAAAAATACCCAAAAAATTAAAAAAGAAATGGTGAAATTCCACCCAAAAATACCAAAAAAATTTAAAATAAAAGGGGTGGAATTCCACCCAAAAATCCCCACAGAATTAAAATTTTTGCCCCATTTTTCTTGGGTTTTTTTCCCAATTTTTCCCCAAATCTAACTGAATTTCCCCATTCCCAGTGCTGCAGTGTGCCACGGTGATCGGGTTTTGCTCCTGGAGACCCCAGACCCCAAACCCTAATTTCCCCCATTTTTCTTGGGATTTTTCTTGGGTTTTATTCTCATTTTTTCCCAAATCTAACCGAATTTCCCCATTCCCAGTGCTGCAGTGCGCCACGGTGATCGGGTTTTGCTCCTGGAGACCCCAGACCCCAAACCCCAAACCCACCCCA